GTTGAAAATATCACTTTTTACCAAAAATATTCACCAAAATTAGAGAATTGAAGATATCATCACGAAATGAACAAATCTGAGAGAGGTCCACATGTAGTACCTATATATGTAATATCAAAGCAATTGCACTTGCGGTTTTTAACAAGAAGTCGAAAATATCACTTTTTACCAAAAATGACAAAAATATTCACCAAAATTAGAGAATTGAAGATATCAACATGAAATGAACAAACCTAAGAGAGGTCTACCCAAGGTACATATACACCAAGTATCAAAGCATTCAGGCTTGTAGTTTTCAAGAAGAAGTCTAAAAAGTAAAACATTGACACGGACGACGGACGACACCGGACAATCACTCATATGATAAGCTCCGCTCGACAAAGTCGACAGCGGAGCTAAAAAAGTACACGTTTAATATTTACATATAAAACTAGATAAGCATTCTCAACTCGGGGTGATGCCAGTCTGCAATAGATTTTTTAAATGTTCATACTGACAACACATATTGGGATCACCCAAAGTGTGCCAAGATTTAAAGACAATGGCTATCTTTCCCTGGTAGTTGTGCTGTGAACACACATATATCGTGACCTTTGGTCTCTATAAATTTCAAGTGGGTTATACAGGAAACCTGTGTGCAAAATTTGAAGTTCCTAGCTATTACCTTTTGTAGCCCAATACAAAACATACACAAACACATACTGTGACTTTGAGCATTGACGTCAAAATGTAGATAGGTATTGTGAATTATGCAGGGAATAAATGTATCCATAATCAATTCCATGTATCCTACTTAAATGTGGAAGGAGGGAGGTCCGGGTCTTCATGAAATAGGTACTTTTTTTGGTGGTAAATATGGCCAATACTTGACCATTTGGGTCTCATAATCACCAGTTCAAATATTTTCATTTCTGCACTTATTTTTATAAGTTATTTTATTTTCACATGAATCTTGAAAATTATACATGACAGTCACACTAAAATTGAGTTTTATCAGACACAAGAAACAAGGGTTTAAGACAAAAACAACAAGAATGACAGACATTTACCAGTCGTAAACCTTCATTTCATCTAAGAAATGCAAGGTTAAAATAGGGATTATTTTCCGCATTCTTAGTGTATGCTTTTTTTGTATGCGAGTAATCAGCGATAAGTGATGTTTCATACAAAGTTTGAATAATCAAATTATGAGCGATTCATAATCTCATACAGAAATGTAGAAAAAATATGAGCACCGTCCCTTCAATATGGTAAAACAAGCAAACAGTTCTAGGAGAATTTGTAATTAAATTCATCATAAAATGTTAAACACTGAAGTAAATTACCAAAATGTTAAAGTGTGCCTTTTATTATATTTACAAAAAAGTTACATAATACGAAAATCAAAGAAAATGCTGGAAAATGACAAAAAAAACATAAAAATTATAGAATTCCTCATTCATAAAAAAATTTCACATAAAGAAGTAAAAAATAAAATTAAGTTTTCTGCACGAGATTTGATCTCTTGATCTTCCACTTGCAAAACAAATTTTTCAACAATTACAACTATGAAGTTCCCAAATAGACATTATATACACTTCTAAAAAAGAAAATCAACAAAAATAAAGTAAATTTATACAGTCCAACTAAAACCTACTTATTAACCATCTATATACTGGTATGTAGCAATCAGCTGACGAGACATTGCCACTATTATGACTTTCCTGCCACCTCGTCACAGGCAAGCCAGATAGTATACAATAGTACTGAGCAATTTAATATCGTCAATATCATTGCAGAACATAATTTTTGAGAACATTTGAAACCAGAAAGTGTCTTTGTTTGGAATCTACAATTCTTCTTTTTTCTTTATACTAAAGTTGTTAGTTATTTCCAAACTATGGTAAATGGTTTGAGTAGAGAGAGATTCAGTTTTTCTATGGTTAAAACCTGCAATAAAATGAAATAAAATAAAATAAAATAAAATGAAAAATATTGAGTTCTTCAACAAGCAAAATCAAATTGACCATGATGAACTTTAAGTGAGTTGTGCAAAATGATTAATATCAAACTACAACACTGCACTTAGTCTAGCTCTTTTTTCTTGCGGGGCATTCTCTGGCATGACTGTCCTAATTCATTATCTGGACTGAGGCAGTAAAACATGTAAATGAAAGCACTACCCATTAAATAACTACTAGCCGGGCCTTGAGAAACACACAGAACAGAACAATAATGAATTGAATCACAGTACATTAACCTCATACCTTATTTTTGTAGGAAAACTGAGCTTTAACCCCATTTGCAGATACATAACTTGGTTGCTGTACCACACCAAAGACTTTGACAAGACCAAGATCAGCAGAATCAGAACCAGTGAAACCAAGTTTAACTATCTGTGATATCACACTAGTAGCATTGGCCTGAAAGCGTACATACGCATATAGTTCTTGTTCATAGGCATCTGTGAAAAAAATAAATAAAACAATATGAAATATTCTTTCAATTTTAAAAATAATAGAATAAATACACAAAAAAAACACATCTGAAAACAGTTTTTCAGTATGCAAATTAGCTAATTAAAAAATACAAATTTTTTTTATGAATAATTGTAATAGTATGCATGTGCATTTCATTTGAGCAAACTTATGCAAACTAGCTAGTTAAAATGCACAGATTAATGTACTAACAATCAGTGCAGAGAAATAATTTTAAGTAAAAGCAGCCACACTGGCTTTTACAACTAACCTAGAGTGTCTCCATCATCTAAATACAACTCCCCATCTGCTTCGTTTTTCGTACATAATGCTACAATCAAATGGAATTTGTTTTGTCTGCTTTCCTTAGTGGTTATACCAGGTTCCTGTGCTGGGATAATATTACCTCCTCTAATATGAAGATTGATTTTATCCATAGGAGTCTTTAATGTAAGC